TTACTACTACTTACTACTACTTACTACTACTTACTACTACTTACTACCTCTCGCGCCAGATCTCGCGTGAAACGCGTCTGACATATGCACGACGCACAGGTCGATACATAACAGAGGATCAGCCTCAGGCTGACTCAAAAGTCGCACACGGGAATCTCCCATGACTCCAAGGTGCGGTTCGCGCCCCTCGCGAACAAGTTCGCCACAAGTTCGAACCCTTCGGGTGGAACAAAGGGGGATGCATGCTCAATGCACCCTTGGGGAAGCACACGACCACAACTTCGTGGTTTGGTCGAGTTGAAGCTTCCCGGAAATGCCTGTACACATGGATTCTTCGAAAGCAGGAGCATGGTTTTACGGATCAAATTGGTCAAGTCTCTGAAAGTAAGCAAGTCAGAATCTGCCTTCACACGAGCACCACTCGCATGAAAAAGAGCTGCAAGTTCACAGAAGGAAAAAGATGCATCTTGGGTCTCTTTCCACCTAAGTCCTCGGAGGAACGTGCAGATTGCATTCCAGTTCTCTGGATGACTTTTCCATGTTTCTGGACATGGGACGTTGACTGGGATTTTGGGTTTCCAACGAAAAGATGTCAGTGGGACATCCCAAGCCCACTGTGGGTACCTTAGTCGACATTGCGATGCCGTCAGCTTGTCAGGCAGCTCCTGGACACCATTCGAAGTAGCAGCGTCCGGGTCACGGGTCGGCAAAAGAGAATGTTCCGCAATTAGCCACTTCTGGTGAGAGTGAATGGCAGCAACAAGCTTCTGCTTAAAAGTTGGAGGATCAATCGGTGCAAGCCGTATTGCAAGCTCTCGTGCAGCTCTGTCAACAAGCCTGTTGTTGGCAATGTGCTGCAACGTTGTGTGAACACATCGGGCCATGTCCTCCGTGACAAGTTCAATGGGGATGTGGTCATACAGACGGGCAGGTATCCACTCAATGCAAAACGGATTGTCAGTAGCCGCACGTCGCGCTGCAGCAACCCGAGTAAGAGAGCACCACCAGTGATAGCATTTCCAACTCGGATCAGGGGAGCCACCCGCAAAAATCTGACTCGCCTTTGTCACGACGGCTGCGCAATCACTGTAAATGACAAGCTTCGCGGTGGCGGAAAACACCGCAACTAAAACCGCCCACAATTCTGTACAGTACGCGGACAGTGCAAGATGGTTGACTTGCCCCTGGTGAATGACGTTTTGTTGTTCATCAAGCACAGCATAGGTTCCAGTCGCCAGCCACACGTTATCCCCAAACACCAGGGACCCATCTGTCCACACTTGTCGAGTGCTGTCACTGTTGAATTCGGCGGAGAAGGTCAAGGTGCTCGCTTGTAACTGCAGCAAACGTCGGCGAACAACAAACATCGGCTGATGCACGTGTCCAAGCATAGCAAAATTGCTTCCAAGTTCGTGGAGCACAGGGGGCCCCACCGACTCACGGATGGAGGAGCATTGGTGTACCAGGTGCATCATGGATTCTTTTTCCCCTCCACAGAATCTGCAGGCAGCCGTGTCACTCCAGCCTGTGGCAGCCATCCTGTCGTTGGTAAGGCAACAACCCACCAAAACGGATTCAAGGCGCTGATGATTGGAGATCTCATCGTTGTCGTAGACCTTGGCAGATCGGAAGAACGACGTAGTCATGGCATGGTCAAAGACCTGAACTATTTTGACAAAGTCTTTCCGTGGTGTGGAACTGGCAAGTCTGTAGCACGCATCACGTGCAATTGCCTGCAAGATTCTGCGAACATCTTGCGGGGTCAAATCTTTGATAGATATAGGCTGAGACTTACAAAACGACAAACGCAATTCATCACACACTTGAATGTTCAGGAACGAGCGCGCATTTTCAAACCTGCTGGCAAGTGAATGAGGAAGCGTTTGATGGGCTTTGTGAGTCGCCAGTAGCTTTGGGAAGAGAGCTGGATCGGAATGGCAAGACCTAATTACTTCAAAAATAGTATTATTATGATACGCACTGGCGGTTCGGGGGTCCGTGCGATGAGGCTTGCCAAACACCGCTTGAACTAGCCACTTGGACCTCCACTTCGGCCGACGTCCCCAAATACAACGAGAAATGGCGTTCTGAATCGCATCAAGTTTAGCCTTCAAAAACACGAGAAATGTGGGAGCCAAAGGTAAGTCTTGGGATGACCTTGGACCCAATCAAAAAGACTCTCGTGGACATCGAGATTGGCAGGGCGCCAATATTTTCAATATCACACAGAATTTTCTTCAGGGATCCCTCCGAGAAACCAAAGGCACACCTAGCAGAGGTATAAATGCGGGTACCCAAAGTTTCGAATTCAAGCGTGACCGGAAAATCAGAGAACTTCCAACAGAGGTTGAGAGCTGCTATAATCGATTTATGCAACCCCGAGGCTCTATAGTTCAATTTTGCGCTGGTGAGGATGCTTTGGTATACGTCGCAAGGTTTGTATAGCCTGGGTATGCCTGGGTGTTGCGAGCGAAAAACGGAAAAAGTTATGGCATCTCATAGCCTGCGCCGTGGTTAAGTCATGGCGTGCAGCGCGCAAGGCGTGTGACAATTTTGGGCCACGGCGCGTATCAGCGCGCATCCTCCCACGCACCCGGGCTGCCCCGCAATTTTATCTTTACCTTCCAAATTAGATTGCGCAGTCTTCGCGCGCTTCTTTCCTGAGTGCGCCCATCCACGCCGCAGCGCGAAACGACTCTACCAATTTGGAGGCTTACAACTGGGCCCGCCCCATGCCAAGCGCGAAGCACTTCTCCTCGACCAGCAAATTCCCTTGCGCGCTCTTCTTGGCCACCCGGCAGGGCTCCAGGTGGCGTGGGCCAACCATTTCCGGGCGATGGTATACGCATGGGCCACAATTCACAGCGGCGGGGAATGGCAACTGCTGGTCTGTGGCAGTTTGTCGTATAATTTCGTATATATATATATATATAAATGTATATATCTATACATTGCCCCTCCGCTGCCATCCATCGAAACTAAACAATGGATATTGGATTGATGAAGCAGGAAACAGACGCCGCACCGCGAAAGAGCCAGCAACTACGAGGAACGCTGGACGGTGAAGTCAAAAACCTGCATCGCAAACAGCTTTTTAATGCTTAAGCGCGCAATTGTTATAGACAAAATGGAAAGGGCAGCAACAAAACAGGCCTTGCGCGTGTATATTGGTGAGCGTGCAGATTAAAAGTTGTCGGCAGGGTTGACGTATACAGGGTCTCATTTTGCAGCGCAAGCTAACGTTCTATATAGACAGTTTCTTTCGCGTTCCAACTCGTGCGCGACATGGTCATGGCTGCGCGCGTGGAGTATTGTAATAGGCTGGCTTTGGTATTTTCTTTCCCGATATTTAATAACACACGTCGTCAGTGGCCCATGCATCGCGCGCGAAAGCAAATCTTGGCCGCAACTCACAGTTCTCAGTCCCAGAGCTCCAGGCTTTCTCTCTCTCTCTCTCTCTCTCTCTCTCTCCCTCCCTCTCTCTCATCTCAATGGGCACTTGCCCACGCGGGCCCCTTAAAGTTTCACGCGTGTGTGTGGACAACTGGCCACAAGACGTGGCGGGCGCTGCTTCACGAAATTCACGAACTGTTCACGCTTCAGAGGCTTTATAAACGATTCTTAGCTACAAGTTCACGAAATTTCACGGCTCGCATGTCTGAAGGGGGCCTGCGCTGGGTCTCAAGCGGACTTATTTGCGGAGCTGCAAAAATACACTGGAGACCTATATATTTCCGACATGGGCCTCATGGCCCTCTGCCCCCGAAGCGATCTTCAACTCATTTGCATGTTTCCAGCGCAGTAGTCTCAGCAGCTCGAAAGCACGAAATTCATAGCCTTCAGGGCGGAATGGAAGCATGAAATTCGTGGTTTTCTGCGCCAGCAAGGGGCCATGAATTTCATGGGTCGTGGCGGGCAGACCTGAGCAGATTGAAAGTGCGAAATTGTACGAATTTCGTGGATTTGCATGAATTTCGTGGATTTGCACGAATTTCGTGGATTTGCACGAATTTCGTGGATTTGTGCGATTTCGTGGATTTGGGGCGCAGGTCAGAGCGCGCAGATGCAGATCGAAAGCATGAAATTCATGGTTCTCGGCCCTCGGGGAAAATTTCACGCAGGCAGGCCCCGCCGCTCGAAAGCATGAAATTCGTGGCTCGAGTGAGCTCCCAGAAAAGAAAGGCATGAATTTCGTGGGTTTTCGGAAATGGAAAAGTGAAATTCGTGGTTCTTCGCGCCAAACGAAATGATTTCATGGTTCTGGGCGCGGAACACAGAGATCGAACGCGTTAAATTGCCACTCGTGGATTTGGTTTTCTGCGCCCACAAACCATGAATTTCGTGGGCTTCGGGCGTGCGGCAATGAATGATCTCACACTGTTCGAAAGCATGGCGTCAAGCCGCAGCGTGGCGCCAAGCCATGATATTTTTTTTGGTCGGTCACGACTGCTGGCCAACAGTTTTCACACACCTGGTGCATGGAGGCTTCCGACTCGGCAGCTCGAATGTGGAATTTGCCAGTTCGGTAGAGGGGCAGGGCCAGCCTGATGTTCTCGGCAGGCGCGACTTTGAATTTCATTTCACTGTTTTTATGGCGCGAGGATGCGGCAAATCGTACAATTCCACACGCGCAGTTTCGACGCAACGTGCCAGCTGCGCCCGCGCAAAGTCCATGAGAATTATATGACATTTGCATTTACACTGGAGGCGGGTCACCATATTGCACTTTTGCTTATAAAAAGCATTTTGATCGCACAGAATCCAGCAAAACATTGCGAATGCGCTACATCCAAGCATGTCCAAACCAACCCGCCCAGGTATAGCCTGCCCAAATTGATCTATAGAGGCTCTGAATTTCACGATCTATAAGGTCTCTCAACCTGTGTTGGTTGGTTCGAAGAGCACTCCTTCCCTCGGCAGTGTTGCTCCACACGCTGGACTTTGCGATGTTCAGTTTTTGACCAGCAAGGTCATCCCAGATTTGGGTGACTTGAATGGCGGTGTTGAGATGCTGAATGTTTGCCTTAAGCGGCACCACAAATAGCTATCGTCGATATAAGCCCGAACAATAATGCCCGGCAGGTGCTCGAGAAGGTGGTACCAAACCTTGTTGTATGCATTCATAGCAAGGATGGAAAAAGAACATCCTTGTGCCACCCCGTTCGCATGAGTCGTGGAAACAGGAGAGGTCCAATTCCTATATGCCATGTGCTTACGAAGGCTCTGGTAAACTTTGAGGAAAATCTTAACAACATTGTGTGGGATGCCAAAAGCGACGAAAAGGCATGCAGCGAACTGTGGAATGATCCTGTCAAAAGCCTTAGATTTGTCGAGCTTAACACCGACAATGGAATCGTTTTCCATATTTGCAACATCAATGTCAAGGCGCACGTCGTTGTAGAGGGACGACATGTAGCGTCCCTTGACTCCACCAACAATACCATGCGGCATGGCTCGGATTTGCCAGTTCTGGAGTTGCAAAAACCTTGCTCCTGTGTATGCTAAAAGCAACGGTGGGAGCACTGTGATCAGGCGTTTATTAATAGGAGAGGCAGGTCCTGGTTTGTTGAGGATTACTTGTTTTGTCACCACCAAGGCACGCGGCAGAGGGATGTCAGTGTCCTCAAGCATTTGAAAGAACATAGCCAAAATTTCAAAACACCGTATTGGGAGGGCTTGAAGTTCAACAGTTCTCCAACCATCCAAGCCGGGAGCGGCATTGGTTTTACGCCTCTGGACCACCTGGTACAGCTCAGGTCCAGAGATCGGGGGGAAGGGAGACTTCAACTTGTTTGTCAGAAATGTATGGCCAAACTGTTTCTAACATCTTTAAAGGATGCTCGGCAAGAACATTAGAGGCAAAGATGTCGTCCCACTTATTGTTAAGCTCGGCAATGGCTTGTTCAGGTTGGGTTAAAATTTGGCCTTGGTCGTTCTGAACCAAGTTGGGAGGCTCATCGGAAGCTTTGTTGCGAAGGTGCTGCAAGATGAAGGAATATCCTTGATGCTCTGAATTCTTGATCTTTTCTTTCCACTTTCGAATGCGTTTGAGGCGTATACGGCCATCAAGAGTCATTGCAAAACCCTCAGCCCACCGCCTCGAGAAATGGATTTCAACTAATGAAGGATGCAACGGGTCAACCCACTCAATCGTGGAGTTGAGCCTTCTGAGGGCACGATAGCTTCGAAGGGCAAGTGGTTTCGTATTAAACACGTCTTGTGGGGAGCCCTGAAGACGAGAGACCCTCGTGGCAAGTTCATTAAGTCTGTTGATGAGCTTATATGCATCTAACGAAACCTTTGTAGCAGCACAACAAGTGCGCAGTTGGGTGGGACAAATTTGCTTAGGGCAAAAAACCGGGGTAGTTGCCCTTGTCTTCGGTCCCTGTCCCCACAACGCACCTCGGGAAAGCAAAACTTCCTGCAAGTATTGATTGACCGTGTCCCACTTGTCATTAACATCGGTCTGGTCGTGGAAACTAGAAGAGAATCGTTGCTCCCACTTACTACTACTTACTACTTACTACTTACTACTTACTACTTACTACTTACTACTTACTACTTACTACTTACTACTTACTACTTACTACTTACTACTTACTACT